GTTCTAGCCGACCTGTGACAATGAGACTGTCACAGGTTGGCTCAGTAGATCGGGAGGTGAGCGAACATATACCGGCGTTCGCTCACCTCTCGATCCTGTCACGGCTCTCTACCGTGACAGGGGAGGGGATGGATTCCCCCCTCCCCGCTCCGATCTGCCAGCGCTGACTGGCGGATCGAACGGGGAAGGGGGCGGGTACAGCTGGCTCTGCCTCTAGATAGGCAGAGCCAGCTGTCACTCACGCAGCTGGGCGGATCTCGACATCGATGTCGGGATCCGCTCCGGCTGCGGCGTCTCAGTATACCGCGAACTCTAGCTCGCGGTATACTGAGCTTAGGTTAACGGGAGGACGCTAGTTTGTGTCCTCCCGTTACCCTAAGGAGAACTATGGGGAAAAGCCCTGACCCCATAGTTCTCCTTTAACTAAGCCCAGCCAAGAATTGCTTAATATATAATGGCAATAATCATCTCCTAAATGTTTGAAATAGACTTTCCTCAGTAAAATGCAGACGTATACCGTCAATATCTGGCGCAGCATACGAGTTCAAATAGGTAGCAGCATAAAGTCAAATCAATATTCCAGTGCAGTAGTTATCAATCCTGTGGAACAGTACAGCTGGAGAACCAATGCATCAACTGCTTTCACAAGTCTAGTGGGCTGATTAAGTAGAACATTCTCAGTGGGAACAGAGGATGCAAATGAAATCCTAACAGAGGTTCTCTTTCCATCCTACTCTGTAAGGAAAAATGAAAGAAAAAAAAAAAAAGTTTTGGCAGAAGTTGGCTTTAAAAACATAAACAGTATTTGTATTACTGAATATAATGACACATAAAATACATTCCATTTAGGGGAACTAAATTATACTAAGAGGATATAAAGAAACAGCATTTGGTTTCCTCTCTATTTGAAGTTGTTAGCTGCCTAGTTTTTATGCTGATCCAAAGGCTTTAATACTTTTGAGGCACTTCAATACCTTAAAGCCCATTTCAGGGCAAACCAAAATAATACCCTTGCAGTGGGCTACCACTGCATTGCAAGGGTTAAGTGCTCGTTTTTGTCTTGGGTAATGTAGTAAAGCAGATTTGCTTACCTGATTCCCGCTCCTGTTGGCTCCCTCGGGGCTACTAGACCGGTCCCTGCAGCCTCTTCTCTGGGCTCCGGCGTTCTAAGGTCCGTTGACATCATCACATCTAATGCAGGTTCTATAGACCTGCATTAGACATGAGGATGGCTGAGGGAATTCCAACGACAAGAGCAGGAGGAGAGCGGTGCACCAACTGCCGGGGGAGCGGAGAGCGGGTAAGTAAATATACTTTAGTCCAGGCCCTAGCCAAAGGGAACAATTAATCCTTGGAGTGCGGAGGTAGCTCCACTGCTAGGGTACTTTTTTTTGTTTACCTAAAGATGGGCTTTACGTGTACAGATGAGGAGTTCTGTCTCTATTACATTTTTATTTTACTGGTATGCTAATTCCGGGTCAGTGATTTAGACAGTATTGAAGCCAGAGACAGCAAGGCAACTAATATTCTCAGTAGGAGGTCAGCAATGGTAGCTCTTATATCTAGTCAGTACAGGTTTTCTTAAGGGCCAGTTTACACCAGATGCGTTGATGTTGTGCTTTTACAATGCAGTGCCAATGCACAGACAAGGCAATATTTGTTTGGCTCAGCTTACACCACGATGTTATGGTAGTGTGCAGTGAAAAAAGTACTGCATGCAGTACTTTTCTTCAGCGCAACATGGTACAACACAGTACAACAGCATGGCACCGTGCTGTACCGATACAACTTCATAAGGTATTTCTCTCATTACAGTCTGCAGATGTTGGATGAGTTTCTTGTTGCTGCTTTTCTAAACTGTAAAGTGACTTCTTTTCTAGCAATTTTAGTAACAGCTTGCACCTTGTTAGTAAAGGAATTAATTCACACTTAATCCGAGATCCAAGAAAATTTGATTTTTATTTTTTATGAAAATGGGAAAAAAATCCTATTAACTTGTGAAAGCGGGAAGGTCAGCTCCATGCTGTGGAAAATTGCTGAATTTATTTTTAAGCAGAATCTGTGTGTAGTTTCTTATTGAGTAGTGTCATTAAAGAGCAAATCCACTTATAAGCTCATAGAGTTGCAGATATACCACATCTGCCAGTACAGATCAGCACTCTGGAGATAAACAACCTGTAGGGAATACAGGGAAACTCCAGCAATGTGGAATATGGTGTATTGGCAGAACAGTTTCCATGGGTCTGTTTTTGCAAACATAAACGTAAGAAAAATACATATGTCATCAGCGGTTCACGGGCAACTACACAAGATAGAGAGGAAGAACTTTCCCTTTAGTAATCAGTTCTATGAATGAACAAGGCAGGGGACATCACAATGTGCCCTTCATCAAATTATAGAATGCCTTGTATTCACTGATAGAAATATTAGGTGTTCTCTGAATGGCCGCTGTGCTTTCAAAGCTTTGGCTACTATGGCACTTACATACTGTAATCCCCATTGGTCAATCAGGTATGACATATGCATACTTATATTGGGCCAAGCTGAGCTGAACCAATGTAAGTATGCAAACTATTGGAGTTCATCTACTAAAAGGTAAATGAAGGGCAAAGTCACAGTGTCTCAGCCAGGGCTAGTTTTGGATAAACTGGGGCTCTGGGCAACAACCAAATTGGAGCCCTCTTGACTGGAATACTGCAGGCCTCTGACAAGACCCACTTTATAGGAAACATAATACACTGCTTATTTGTGTCTTTCTAACTTTATGATTTTAATTACCTAACTGTTGGACAGACTTTTTTCATGAGTTAAAATTTTAATAAAATTTGAAAACAATCATGAGAGTTTTATGGGTTTTTTTTTTTTTTGCGAAGGGGCAGATATACAGTGTCCAGTGTACCTTCTCTTAATTTAGAGTTCACACCTCAAGTAGTCAATGGAGGAAAAAAAATGCTTCTACATTGGTAATCAGTGAGAGTTAAAAAATTTCCTTACCTCAGTTGGTGTATAAAAAGAACTTACCTTGATGGTTAGTGGGAGTAAAAAATGTCCCTACATCAGTGGTAAGTGGGAGTAAAAAATGCCCCCGTGTCAGTGGCCAGTGAGAGTATAAAATGCCGACGTGTCAGTGGTCAGGTAGAGAACCCAGATAGCGAGGATAACTTGCCACAAACTTGTGGCTGGGTGAAATTGTAATTCTTGTTAACTTGCTGCACACATTCCTGGCAAGTTCTGCAGATCTTAGCAAGAGCTCTGCAAGCTCGCTGGTCTGGAAACTTGCAAAGCAGACTTGCTGTAATTGTGCAACAAAATTGTGAAGCTTGGCAAGTCTGCAATAGTTTAGCAAGTCATTTTCAAACTTGCAGCTCAATTACTTGCTATCTGGGGTATAAAATGCCCTTGTGTCAGTGGTCAGGTAGAGTATAAAATGTCGTGTCGGTGGTCGGTGAGAGTATAAAATCCCCTCTTGTCAGTGGTCAGTGAGAGTATAAAATGCCCTTGTGTCAGTAGTCAGGTAGAGTATAAAATGCCGTGTCGGTGAGAGTATAAAATCCCCTCTTGTCAGTGGTCAGTGAGAGTATAAAATGCCCTCGTGTCAGTGAGAATATAAAATGCCCTCGTGTCAGTGGTCGGTGAGAGTATAAAATGCCCTTGTGTCAGTGGTCGGTAGAGTATAAAATGCCCTCGTGTCAGTGGTCGGTAGAGTATAAAATGCCCTTGTGTCAGTGGTCGGTGAGAGTATAAAATCCCCTCGTGCCAGTGGTCGGTGAGAGTTTAAAATGCCCTAGTGTCAGTGGTCAGTGAGAGTATAAAATACCCTTGTGTCAGTGGTCAGTGAGAGTATAAAATGCCCTAGCATCATTGGTCAGTGAGAGTAAAACATGTCCTGATGTCAGTAGGAGTATAAAATTTCATTACGTCAATGGTAAGTGAGAGTGAAAAATGCCCCCGTCTCAGTGGGAGTATAAAATGCCCCTGTATGAAGCAGGTAATAGCAACTGACACATGGGTGCTTGCTTAAAGCTGAACCCCTGGCAAACCGTTAAATACACAATGAAACACATATTGGGGAACCTGTTCTACCTGCCAAAGAATTTGTATTTCTACCCATCCAGTTTGATATTTACACAACCCTGGCATACAGCACAGCCCTGTCTGGCTGGGCAGGTTACCTGATCTTTCTCTACTGCAGCAAAGTATCACTTGTCTGTTTCCAGCCTGTGACTTGACAGTGAAAATAGAAGCAGCACATTGATGAACTTATATTTCTCAGTTACTCTGCTCTCCTATTAGCATGTTTGTTAGCACATGAGCAATACAGCACAGATGACTAGCTCCCTGTGCTGCTCCTACCTCTCTCATTCTACAGAGAATCACTCTGGGATCACTTGTTCTGGTGACCACTGTCAGAGGTAAGATTGCTCCTCACTTCCAGTGTTTGGTCTGGCACGAGAAGCTAAAGGGGGTTCTAACCATTCCCTACTACCCCCCCCCCCCAAAAAAAACAAACCAGTTCTACTGTAATTCTCCAGCTAGGCAAGAGTGTAACTAAACAATACATTGCACAAGCTGGGATGAGTCATGCCAATGCAACAATTTGTTCTGTTCACAACTTACTTATTGCTAACCAAGAATTTCTACTCACGGGTAACTTACATCCCGAGTTTAATATTAAATAAATTGCTCTAGTGCTCTAAAACCCACAATATTGTGCGGGGTTCTTACGTTGTACAACACCAGTGACAGGGGAGCCTTCTACTTTAATATCAATGGCAATCTATGGCAGCTCTTCACATAACTTGAATGACAATCTCTTTCATACTGCTCAGCAACTTATCAGTGGCAGCTCCACTTCTCTTCCAGTGATGGTGAGGTCTGGCACACCCCAGAATCCATCCATAGCTTACGTACTGGAGACTTGCAAAATTATAGGCTTAAAAGACGCTATTTTTAAAACCTAAAAAGCAGTCCTCCCTGCAAAGCAAGCAATTATTACTTACCTGTGTAGTGGCCCTGCCAACGTTGGAGTGCCTGTAGTCTAAATTTAGTTTGCAGCTAGGCTGCAGCCAGCCCAAGTTCTGATTGTAATTGTTTTCTGCATTTGTTGGGTTTTCCCTAAGCTCGGAATATTGATTGCTTCTGCCTATTGCTGTGGGGTATACTGCAGTAGAAAGAGAAAGAAGAATGTTATAAATTATTAATTCAGTGATGTGAGATAGATATTTTGGAAGCCAATATCGAAAGCCTGTCCCTTTACAGGCTTTGCCTGAAGAGGATATAAGTACAAGAACCCAGTCTTTACCTCTCAGGCTTTGCTTGATGAGGAGGTCCAGTTTGGGAGCCTTTTTGCCTCTCATGCAACCTGTCTGGGGAGGACTGATCAGCTTCAGAATCCAGTCCCAGGGGATAGGAAATGGGCCTATGATAGTTCCTGATAGATAGGAAGTTGGCTATAAAAGGTGAGCACATCGAGATATGCTTGCTCAGTCAATTGCTGGTCTCGGCTTAAAAGCAGACATTGAAGAATTGCTGGTCTCAGGTTAAATGGCACACCCTTGGTGTGGGACTGACATTATTTCTCTATTTGAGCGTTGGGATTTTTGTTGCATCTTGTAAGCCCTACCCTTCCCTCCCCTGGAAGCTGAGCCAATAAAACCTGCAAGCAAAACTTAGCAGAGTGGATGTCAGTGCACTAATAGAAACTCTAGGAGGGGTGGTTAAACTCAGATGCTCATGAGGGGAGTCATTGTTACACCTGTCATGGTGCTGAAAAGCCTCTCGGTAGAAGAATAGAGCGTTCTCAAAGTTCTGCTTTCAACACTTACAGGAGAGTTGGATGCTGGCATCCCCTGTGTTTTTCTGCCGCTGGTTCTTACTTTACTACAGAACAGTAGTACAATTACAGGACTTGTTCTTTTTACATTGGCACATCTTAATAAAAACCCTACCAAATGTTGACAAACATTTACATATATTTACATATATTCCAAAACTGGAACATTTATCCTGCCCCTAAACTAGATCTGATCGGCGCTAGATCGGATCTGATCTGTGTGCTACTTCTTCATTCACTCTCCAGTTGCAGTGGCAGGTTGAGGGAGAGACAAAACCTTTAACTGTTACTTGCAAAAGAGAAAAATTAGGTTTCATGCCCTGCCAAACAGGTACAAAGCTCTGCTGTGTGCCAGAGCTTTGTAAATCTCAGATCTGGATGGAAAGATAAAATATTTTGTCAAGTTCAACAGCCCTTTAAATGTGTCAGTCCCTCCAAAACTGACATATCAGTTTAAAGTAAATGCTGAAGCAACTGACAATGCCTTATGTGTTTAGTGGACTGTGTAGTTTAAGGGCCTATTGACATGACTTTGAATGGTCTGCCAATGCGTCTCACCATGACCAAAGTTGGACCATTTTTTGTGGTGCAACATATGCTTTGTGTTGTGGTGTGATACAATGCAGGTGTGTTGGGGAGGATGTGTTTGTTCAGGTGCAGTTCAAAATTAATGGCACTGCATCACCTCTACATCCATAATGCATGTTACCGCAACATAACCGTGTGATTCACCCCTAAATGTTTTCACTTACATTCTTGGCTCTGCACACCTGCTGTGGCTATTACAAGGGGTACCCACATTCTGTATTGGATTTGCTTATTTTATATTATGGAGAATGTAACAGGAGAAGGTAAACAAACAAAGGTGGGCAGGAACACCCAAAACTCCCAGATGAACTGTAACAGAGTGGGAATTATGGAAAGGAGTTCTTGATACTGTGATGTCGGGGGCTTACTCTGCCCTCCAGACTCCATCAATAACTAAATATCACTTCTAAGTGGACTGACCCTTTAAAATAAAAGGATGTGTGGCAGTCTTCCAGCCTTATTCATGCCAGAATGAATGTGCAGTATTGAGTGAGAGAGTCCTTTAGTCCTTTGGTACATGATTTTTTTTCTATTGATTTACCTTGCCTGACAGTAAAAGACCTGTGTTTATAAGTTATAAATTGGGATTTTGTTAAAAATATGGACTTCACCGAACCTTCATTGTTTTTGGTTTGTGCTCAAAATTTAAATGTCTTGGATATGTCTTATCCACAATGCAGATGGTTTGAAAAACACTTTTGCATTATTGCAGTTATTAACATGCTGTGTAAGCTTTATCCTGAACTCAGGGAATAGTAGTATGTTCTGTGCCGTGCAGTTAAATTAGCATGCCCCGCAGCGTCTCTCGCACGTCCACACATTCTCCTATTGTGAGCTCCACGGCGCTCATTCTCCGACAAACTGGAATCCAGCAAGTTCACTTCATCAGGACATGGTTGCCTGGAGACCGTTATAAAGCCAAGCACTGATTGTCTGATGAGCAGTTTTGAAACTAACATTTTATATTTGAGATCAAGATTTCTATGACCAGTGTTACTTTGTAATGTTGATTTGCTATGCAGGCTGATAATAACATATGATTGCTAAGATAGGCGCTAGCTTTTTTCTACCCTTCTTCCCTCTAGTTCCATAAAGAACACTACAGGTTCTCTGGACATAAGCCATGAAGTAAAAAAGCTAAGTTCAGCTGTGACTCTTGCTCCCAGGCACCCAAGTGGAGATTTCTGGTTTACTCTATGAACAGATGGGGTATCCAGTAGATTACAAACCCCAATGTTGACTATAAATTTCTTAAATGGATTTTTAATGTTTATACAGTGCGTGTAATGACCTGGAACCAATGCCTTTCCTTGCAGACCAGCTGTAATGTCCAATCAGACTGAGCTTGAATTGTTGGCTGAGAAAACGAAGAGTAGGTATGACTGACTTAAAATAGCACCTACGTAACCTTCTGTAGTTCATTGTCAGATTTTGGGTAACTGTTAACGCATGTAGGCAGACATGTCAGGAGACATGGTTTAGGCTGCACACAGAGAAATAATCACAGACTTAGAAATGCAGTCTTGTACTTTATGGCAAAATTAATATACACTGTATTGCCAAAAGTATTAGAACAGCCATCCAAATCATTGGATTCAGATGTTCTAATCACCTCCATGGCCACAGGTGTAAAAAATCAAGCACCTAGGCATGCAGACGCTTCTACAAACATTTGTGAAAGGAAGGGTCGCTCTCCGGAGCTCGGTGAATTCAAGCGTGGTACCGTGATATGTTACCACCTTTGCAACCTATCGTCGGATGCAGTGGTGTAAAGCACACTACCACTGGACTCTAGAGAAGTGGAGACTTGTTCTCTGGAGTTGCCAATCACGCTTCTCTGTGATTGGTGTGGTGGTTGCCAGGAGAACGGTACTTGCCTGACTGCATTGTGCCAAGTGTAAAGTTTGGTGGAGGGGGTATTTTGTTGTGGGGTTGTTTTTCTGGGGTTGGGCTTGGCCCCTTAGTTCCAGTGAAGGGAACTCTTAAGGCATCAGCATACCAAGACATTTTGGACAATTTCATGCTCCCAATTTTGTGGGAACAGTTTGGGGATGGCCCCTTCCTGTTCCAACATTACTGTGCACCAGTGCACAAAGCAAGGTCCATAAAGACATGGATGAGTGAGTTTGGGGTGGAGGAACTTGACTGTCCTGACCTCAACCTGATAGAACACCTTTGCGATGAATTAGAGCGGAGACTGCGAGCCAGGCCTTCTCGTCCAACATCAGTACCTGACCTCACAAATGCGCTTCCGGAAGAATGGTCAAACATTCCCATAGGCACACTCCTAAACCTTGTGGACAGCCTTCCCAGAAGAGTTGAAGCTGTTATAGCTGCAAAGGCTGGGCCAACTCAATATTGAACCCTGCGGACTAAGACTAGGATGCCATTGAAGTTCATGTGCATGAAAAGGCAGACGTCCAAATACTTTTGGCAATATAGTGTATATTACAGAAAACAGTGGTATAACCTACAGCTGGTTGCCTGCTTCTATTAAATGATGCCACATAGAGAATCATTTGTCCCTATACTTCTCTGATTACAGATGTCTAGGGTTCAGTGATGTCAAAAATATCTTTTTGACCCTCAGTAGTGACATAAGATGTGGGGTAGGTTCCTACTGAGTGATCTAACTCAATAGAAGTAAAGTTGTGAATCCCACTTGGCCAAACCATAACATTGGGTAAACCTTGGGCCCTATTCACACGTGTGTAGCATGATATCATAATTATGCTCTTTGACAAATTAGCTCATTATGGACCTAATTCAATTATAATTGACCTACACCAAATGTCCAGATCATGTAAGAGACAAAGAAATGTCAAACAGCGACCACATAAACATGCAGACAGATTTTTATTACTGTAATAGACAGTTCCCGCAGGTAGTTGAACATTAGACTGAGCCCATTCAGATATAGGATACAACTGTTGGTGCTCCTTGAATTCGGAGGAAGAATACACATTAGATCTCTTCACAGCCGGTTGCTTTTGTAACAGAACAACAAGAAGTGCACAACTCGCAGGTGGGTATGTCACACACACAGCTTGCAGGCAAAAAAATTATACTCATTGACAGATGCTTCTACTCCACTCTTGTGCCTGTTTTACTATTACATTCCAACTACAGGGCATACACCTAATTAGCAATAAAACATTCTTTCTCTACTCTAAAAATGATAGGAGAGATTCTCCTTCTCTATGCAATATTGCTAGTACATTCTGGTGACAGTCCAGTACTAATCTTTGGCATTAGGGGAGGTCTGGCACACCCAGGAATATTCTGGTCACCACAACTTCGCTTGGCCAAAGCAATGCAGCCTGACATCCCACCACTTAGCTTCATATTTAGTCCATCATCAAGGGGATCATCCTCTAGGTCTGAGCTTTACCACTCAACTATCTACATGTGTAGTGCCCCCCAGGGCAGGTTATTTATTTAGTTCCTGTTCTGGCTCTACTGTTGACAGAGGGTTGGAGAACCGTTCTGTCACTCTTACTCCACACTCTTCATCCAAAAGGCTATGTCAGGAAACTCACACTTACTTGTTACGTTGTAGTTGTACAGGAATGCAGACAAGGGACTTGTCACTACTGCCAGGTTAGCCTACCTTCTTCTAACCACCACAAGTTGCCTGACTGAGCCAGTCTCTGTACTCACTTTCCCCAGTATTGGCCACCCTGCATTCTGATGCAGGAAAATAGACTCAGTCTCAGTTAATCTGTTTTGAACTCTACTTTAGGTAATGTTAAATTAGATTGTTCATGTTCAGCATGGTTCCAATTCATGACTGATCCAGTGTCAGACTTTTGCCCACAGATGGGTGTTTTCTCAACTGAGTTCCCCAGCTACCCTGGCGAGACCCACTTGAGGCATACCCCCCAAGGGGAACACCAACACCGTAAAACTAAATTTTTCTAGCAGCATACCACGCGGATTATCTCTGCTTTTCTCTTCAGCTTAGATCTCCACCGCAACGACCTTGAAAAGCCTCCTCCTCTGCTATATATACCCCCTGCACGGACCTGT